TATATAAACACAAACACACATAAATACATACATACATAAATGTAGCTGTTCAAGTGCTTTTTTCCTTTTTTTTTGAACAGGCAATACTGTGGTCACCTTATCCAGCTATCAGGACCCAGGCGCTCTCGGATCCAGGAAGCTACACAGCCGGCTTCGGTGAGAATTAATCAATAAATTATTTGGGATTTTTGAAGCCGTGAAGCTTTAAATAACTGTAATTTGGGCTCGTCGTTAACTCGTCATAGATAAAGTGACAAAACCAGTTTTCGAGTAATAAGATATAGCGGATTTAAGGTCGTTTTCCTGGTGTACAAGTAGTAGATTTGCCTCCGCCTGCGGCTCTAAATCACAGGTAAACTGGTTATAATTTGTTTGGCTCAAATTATACGCGTAAATGCAATTTTAAGGAGTTTAATCTACCAAAACCTCAACACCTGGCGATAATAGTAGGAGTTAATTTCGCTCGTAGGAGTAATTTGACATCTCTGACGGTTCGTCAGGATGTAAAAGTCTGGTCTTATTGGACGCAGGAGCCACGCTGAGGTTTCTTATTGGACAAAGTTCATGGCTGGTTCCTCATGAAAACACTCGCAGGTGCAAAACACCGTTTACACCACAAACACTAGATCTACACGAGTCCAGATGCTGTTTACATGTTAATTTGAATGTAAGTGTGGGATCACTTGTCCTGTGTTTGCAGCTTCTGGTCTGTTTTTAAGTTGGTTAGTTTCACCAGACATGACTCAAACCACAACATCTTCACAAATGAGCCATTTAAACCCTTGGAAAAGGCCTTCTACTACAAAAGACAGAACAAGCGCACATCGAATGATTTTTTAAAGTTTTTAACTCGCTTACTTTAAGCCGTACACCTTTTTATTCCACCTTTATTTATACAGATTAGTCTCGCTGAGCCTCGAGGACTCATTTACAAGAGAGACATGCTTTAGTATGATTAGCTTTATAATAAGTAGACAAAAAAAGAAAGAAAATTATTGTCAAATTGACCCAAAAGCTAATATTTGAGCCCAACAAAGTTTAAGTCAGGTCCTCTGGATGATTTCTTTTTGTTCAACAAATGCATGACTCGGGCTAACATCAGATGGTGACACGATGAGACAAAAATAAAGAATCGGATGCGGCTGAAAGAGTAAAAACCATTGGAGAATTCTCTGACTGCTGTTCGTGGGTGGGTCATTGTTACGTCCACCATGAACATAACACGTTAACACGTTATAAATGGCACATCACAGCACTGCAAAGAGAGCAGAACTTGGTTTAAAACATAATTTCTGAAAGACCGTCAACACTTAGTGGAACTCTAAAGGTGTTCAATATTCACCTGGTATGGATTGGACTGTGCTATTATTTGTTCTGTGCACTGACTTGGACCACTGCAAAGAACAAACATTACAACAGATAAGCTTACAGTTAAATATAAAGCAGTGTTCAAACATAAATGCATAATGCAACCTAAATTCCATACTTTAAAATTGGATATGAATAATAAATACCATAACATCAAATAAAACCATATTGTAAAATATGATAACCTTTCTGAAGATGGGACAATCAGATCTGAGTAGTATGGTTTACTGAAAATGTTAAAATGCCCTGTTATCAGTACATGAGGTGACTAGAGATACAAGAAATCCTCCCCGTTAAGCTGCTTAAGGAGAACAATGTTGTGGCCTCTGGTTATCTTAAGACGTCATTGTTCACTGCTGAAGGTTTAGGTTTAATTGTCGTATACAGATCAACACAAGATCAACAATGCAATGAAATGCTGAGGACGAGAAGAACTGTTTCGACTCGCAAAAACAAACCATGCAACAAGAATACACAACAAAGCACCAAAACTGGGAAACATAAACACATCTACTGCAGCATGGTCGTATTAGCAGAGTGATTCTGTTGGCAGTAAGGAAGCACGTTTTAGCTTTTTGTTAACTTTTTATGCAACTTTACGCTTATATTTCAAAACGTATTTTTATAAAAAGTTCTTGTAGAACAATTTCAACATAACTGATGCAGAGTGTTGTCTATTTGAACATTTTTTCAGTATGAAAAGTAGAGAGGAATTATTTCCATCCATCATCTTTACCCGTTTCTTCCTTTTTGAGTAGTGGGGGTCACTGGTTCCCATGTCCAGCAGTCACTGTGCGAGAGGCAGGGGACACCCTGGACAGGTCTCCAGTCCATCACAGGGACACTAAAGACAAACGAGACAAACAACCATTCACTCTCTCACTCACCTAGAGACAATTTAGTTACCAATCAGTCGAACATGCATGTTTTTGTTCTGTGGGAGGAAACTGGAGTACACGGAGAAAACTCACACATGCACGGAGAGAACATGCAAACTCCACCCTGAAAGGCACCCGGACCGGGATTTGATCTGGTGTAAACTGCTTGCTGAGAGGCAGCAGCTTTATCAACTGATCCACCGTGCTGCTCAGGAATTGTTTCATTTATTTTATTTTTTTAGATGAGAGCATCCTCTTCCATCAACTTGCATTTAAACCGAATGTTGAAATTGACTTTTCTACCAAATGGTTTGGCCCAGTTCACTGTTTTCCATGAACCTGAGCAGATCATTTGATGTTTGTGTCCCAGTGTTGAGGACTTCTTAGCTCTGCACTGGTCAGAACTGCTGGAGTCATATTAACAGAGACGGTAGCAGTGCACGCTAGCTTGGCATTTCATCAGCTTTCACAGATTAATGCAGCGGCTCCATTTTTACTTTTTATGCTTTGGTGAAGCACAGTTTTTACAGAGTGCCTGAAAATGGTCTTGCCCATTTTAAGATCATTTTTAAACTAATTTCTATCAGCTGATATTACAGTATTGGTACTGTCTCAAATCCAGAATGCTCCAAACCCTGCTGCTCACCTCATTACTGGCTCAAAGTTATTACCAACTCATCACCCCTGTACTTGTCTCCTTTTACTCACTACCTGTGATTTCAAACTGTGTTTGATCGTATTAACGTTAACGCGGGCCCCTCCTGGTGCAGGTGTGAAGATGTGGTTTCTGTGCGCTGTGCTGCTCTCGCTGCTGTCTGCTGTCTCTGGAGGAGCAGATTCGAAGGCCATCACCACCACCCTTACAACCAAATGGGCTGATACTCCTCTGCTGCTGGAGGCCAGGTGAGACGCAGCACTGCTGAACTGGAACAGCCTTTGATTTCAATTTGTCATTATGTTTTGGAAAACACATAATGAGTAAAATCAGTATTTTTGAAGCTCAGTGGCCTGTTCTCTACTGGAACTACTAATAAACAGTTGTGTAACTTTTTCCTATATTTTATTCTTTTTCATGTTCTCTGATTGCTGCTAGCAGACTGAAAACTTCTTGAGCTCTTTTGTTTTTTTTCATGTTTATCCTCTTTTTCCTCAGTGAGTTCCTGGCTGAGGAGAGTCAGGAGAAGTTTTGGGACTTTGTTGAAGCCAATCAGAACATAGAAGGAGAGCACGATGGTAATTTTAAACCACTGCAGACCTTTTATTCTCTGTGCTGAGAGCATCTGAATTGGCTTTGCTTTGGCTAAACCTGCAGGTCTGTGTCAGTGTTTGGTTGAGTGTGGTACTTATTCAAATAATAATTTGACATAAAAAAATGCAAATTCTACTTACTGGTCTGTGTTGACCAGAGTTAACTCATTAAGAAGAGGAAATAATACTATATAAGTTTAGAGTGATACATGTAGCATCACCATTTTTAAGATTAGCTGATTCTTACAATTTAGGGAAATACTGATTAGCTGCAATAAAAGCTGTAGTTTTATTTTTTTTTTCAAGTGGTTATTATTGTCCACTGCCAAATGTGTGCATTAGCAAAATATCTGATGAACTACTGGACACTTTTTATGATACTCTCAAGAAGTAATCACTGGGTTTATATTTACTTTTCATTAAATTCTGGAGTCGACCTAACTCAAGATGGCCGCCAGACGGCCCTCAGGATTGAAGCCCGAGATATTATTATCTCATTAGGCCATAATGAGATAATAATGCTGGTTCTCACCATCTTATCTTCTGTGTGTCTGTCCTCACACAGACACAGATCAAGCCTACTATGAGCTGATTGTGAAGAAAGCCAGCGCCTTGCTCAGCTCCGTCCAGCTGAACATGCTGAAGCTTGCGCTCTCACTGAGAGCGTACTCTGCCACGGTGTACTCCTTCCAACAGGTAACAGGACGATGACCCACATTGACACATTTCTTCTTGCATGTTGAGAGGATTATGTTACTGAGCTCGCTTGTTTTTGTAGATAGCTTCCACTGAGCCTCCCCCTCCTGACTGCACAGCTTTTATCAGCATTCATGGAGTGAAGACATGTGATGTAGAAAGTTTGGCAACATTGTTGAAAACTGCAGCAGAACGGTGAAAGATGACTACGACACGTAAACACACAATTTCTATAATTCAGTAAAGTAATCTAAGAAATGTTTTGCTCTCTTTCAGACCGAAGCCTTACCTTTTTAAAGGTGATCACAGATACCCAGGATCAAATCCAGATGCACCTTTTGTCATTCTCTACGCTGAGCTGGGGAAACCAGATTTCCAGAAGTTTCATCAAGTCTTAACATCCAGAGCTAGTGAAGGCTCAGCAACTTATGTGCTTCGACACCACGTGGCTGTAAGGTTTTACACAAGAGTGATGTCTTGTTGTTGGTGTTCTTTTTCTTCTGGTTCTTCTTGTTGTTCTTTTAGTTCTTCTTCTTCTTCTTGTTCTTCTTTTTCCTTCATCTTCTACTTCTAGTTCTTCTGCTTCTTCTACTTCTTGTTCTTGCTCTTCTAGTTCTTGTTCTTTCAGCTTTTCCCTTTTCAGGGGTCGCCCCAGCAAGTCATCCTCCTCCACCTCACTCTGTCCTCTGCATCCTCTGTCCACTCCATCTACCTCCATGTCCCCTCTAACTACCGGTACATCCATATGTCTCCTCTTTGTATTTTTCTTCCTTTTTGCTTTTCCTTCCATCCATCCATCCATCAGCTTCACCTGCTTCTTCCTTTTTGGGTTGTGGGGGTCACTGGTGCCCATATCCAACAGTCACTGTGCGAGAGGCAGGACACCTGGACAGGTCTCAAGTCCATCACAGATCTTGCTTTTCTATTATCAATAATAGTGTCTAGATTGGAGATGGACAAATTAATTCAGTTTTACTCAGTTTCTCCCACAAACTGACCCAAACCTGTTATCCAAATCTGTGGTAAAAATGAAAGGGTTGGTATCTAAATCTAAGGCATCTGTCTGTAAAGCACTTTTGCCTTTTTACAGTTCAAAGAAAAAACCATTTCCCAGCTGGAGCCTGTGTGGGTGGGCTGCAGCAGCTCTTCTCCTGCATCCTGCTGCACCGTGCACCAAACATCAACACAGCCTGCTCTCTCTGACAATTATAATATTAACTCAAAACGTGCAATTACACTTCCCTGCAGTCATTGCTGACTATGCTGCTGTCACAAGTGCCACATGAGGAATTAACTGAATGAAACGAGCATGTGCTAAACAATAAACGCAACCACAAGTCAGGTAATTGTTTAGCTACCGATGCGTTCAAAGTCGGTCTGAAATGGTCAAAGCAACATGTCAACCATTGCTCTGAAATATAGTTTCAGTCTTTGGGTGCTCAAAGGGAGGATTTAGAGATTTTCAATTCACAGAGAAATTGGGCCTTTATTTTCTGTAGTTTACTGATTTTACTGAATCAGTTTATTTCTGGGATTCTTTCATTGCTAAATACTTTTAGCATATCAAATATAGTTTCTGTAAACTAACACTTATGATAGTTATTTTTGACATTAGTTATCAGATAAGAAATTTCAACGTTTTGTCTTTTTTGTGACACATCATTCTTTGTGTTTGTAAGCACAACCTTTGAACTTAAAAACCTGGAAAAGAAGAGTTTAGACCTATTTGAGTAAAAAAAAGGGCACTTTTGTCAACTGGTAGGTAGGCAGTTAAAAACATAATTTTTCACATAAGCTGTTAATATAACCCTGCCTTTCTCTAATTTATTTAGAGTTATCTATTATCTAAATGTTAGCTTGCTAAATTGAGAGGCACTTAGCTAATGATAATTATCATGATTTGTTAGTTATAGTTGTCTGTACTTATATTTTCGGTCTGGAACAGGTCCCTCTTGTAAATGAATCCTCATGGCTTAATGAGACTAGCCTGGATAAATAAAGGTTGAATGGGAAAAAAAAATGACAAGCAGTTTGGACGTTTGAAGAAAATGTATTTATTCTTTATTTATGTTACAGATCAGTTAAAATAAACTTACCATGCTCTGTTTAGCAAAATACGCTACACAATATTGTTCTCTGCTTCGTCTGCCCTGAAAGTGAAACCTAAGTGAACGGCCATGACTTGAAAGTAGTCTTAATGTTCCCTCTGCTGGATACATTGTACAATTATGGCTGGTTCCAGCATTTTAGGGGTGAAAATTACAAGTTCTTATATCGGCGAATAATGGGACAATTGTCACGAATACCGATATGGTTCCAAAGGTTTATATCGGCCTAAAATATCGGCCCTACCGATATATCGATCAGGCTGTAATCTAAATGACATTTATCAATGTCACCTCAGTGGCTGCAACTGGAGCTCATAAATTATTCCCAAAAAGGCATAAATCTTTTTTTTTTAACTTAAGTGTTGTTCCAGGCAGTGCACCTATTGTGTACAGAATATTGTGTAGTTTAAAGTAAATCTTGTACTCAAACATCAAAAGGCCTTTAAATGAACAGAATCTGGTGAATCTGACTCTGGAAATTTGAGAGTAGAAATGTGTAGGAACCCTAATTCATGAACAGTCACAAGTCAGTGTTCTCATCTCCATTTAAGCCTCTGATGGTGTGATTGTTTGTATATTTGACATAAAAAGTACTTCATAACCTAAAAGGGACGGCTCAGAGCAGAATGTGCAGCATTGATGTGTTTATGATGGGGGGAATGCAGCTTGTAATTTGAAGCAAACCATTTTAAGAGCTCAGTTAAAGCACTATAGAAAAGTAGTCCATTTTCTTATTACTGCAAGAGCTCATGCCAGATGTCCATATTTAGCAACATATGGCAAAATAGTGATTTGGGAGTACTTATTCTCTCAGTTATCCTTATCTGTAAAAACTTGCGCTTAACGTAGGCTTCTCATTTACACCTGGGAAGAAAAGTGTTTCACTAGTTTTTGATGCCAAGTTGAGTTAGATTTCTTTTTTCCTCATCTGGAAACACAGCTAATCAATTTATTTTCTCTTTTGATTATGCTAAATTATTCTCACCATCTGCCTAATGGACATGAAGTCTTTAGGCCCATCTCAAAAGGCTGCAACTCTTACTCTTTATTTCAATGGTTTGGGGCCAGTCAGTGGACAGCTGGTTGTCATCACTAGGTTTGTAAACAGGTGAAAGAACTAAACGGCTGTTGATGGAGCCTCATAGAGCACTAGAAACAGTTTGTTGTTGGTGCAGATGAGGTTTCATTAGATATACAGATCTCCCTGCTGTATTATTTACAATTTCTCCCTTTTTCCTCCAGAAACCAAATGAAAAGAAAGTATTTCTGTCGGGGTACGGAGTAGAGCTGGCCATCAAAAACCAGGAGTACAAGGCAAAGGATGACACCCAAGTCCAAGGTGTACACTCATTACATTTAGTGAATACACACATGCCCAAACTGGTGTAATCCCACAGGAGTCCTCACGTGAAAACAGTATTGACTTCAGTTGATTCCTGTTTCAGGGGAGGAGGTGAACGCTACAGTGATTGGTGAAAACGATCCTGTGGACGAGGTCCAGGGATTCCTTTTTGGCAAGCTCAAGTGAGTGTCTCTGTGCTAGGCCGTGATAAAATTTCAAAGCTTGGTTCCATTCCAGGAGCTGCACCAAACTCACTCATCACAGCCAAACCTTTTTTTTTTTTCTTTGCTTCACTTTTGTTTTCCACACTTAACTCCCCTGAAGCACTGACCATGTCTCTGCTCAACTAACCTGAAAATAACTAAATCAATTTGTGAATTCAGCCTCTCACATTTAATTAGCAGTTTGGTCTTTTAGCAGCTGTATTTCTCTCTGTCTGTTTCTCACCAGGACCATCTATCCAGAGCTGAAGGAACAGTTAAAGGAGCTGAGGAAGCATTTAGTAGAAAGCACCAATGAAATGGCGCCTCTAAAAGTCTGGCAGATGCAAGGTGGGCCTTCCTCCAAATCATTTCTTCATTTGGCCATCAGCAGATTGTTTTTTTTCCCCTCCCAAATACAAACAGACTAAAATAGAGAGCATTTGTTTTGTGGTATTAGGAATAATTATACGGCTGGCCAAAACAAACAAAAGTGACAGAGGAGGCACTTTAACAGGTTAGCAAATATAAACAGTGCAGCAGTCATTGTACAGTTTTTGGGGACTGCAGCCACCTATTATTAATATCCACCTGAAAAGGGTCTTGCTCTTCTTTCAACTGTAATATGGCCCAAACTGCAATGTGTACCCCCACAGATCTAAACAACCGTCTCGGCACCGTTATGTGTGCTGTTATTTTTATTGGCATTTCAAGTTACCATGGAGACATAATTTGCATCCATCCATCCATTATCTTCCGTTTGTTCCGAAATCGAGTCACAGGGGCAGCAGCTTGAGCAGGGAGGTCCAGACATCTCTTTCCACAGCCACCTCTTCCAGCTCTTCTGGGAGGATTCCTAGATGTTCCCAGGCCAACCCAGAGACGTAGTCACTCCAGCATGTGCACCCAGGGGGCATCCTTACCAGATGCCTGAACCACCTCAGCTGGCTCCTCTCTATGTGGAGGAGCAGCGGTTCTACTCCGAGTCTCTCCTGATAACTGAACTTATCACCCTGTCTGTAAGGGAGAGTCCAGCTACCCTGCAGAGCAAACTCATTTCAACCGCCTGTATCCATGATCTCATTCTTTCTGTCACTACCCAGAGCTCGTGACCATAGGTGAGGGTAGGAACATAGACTGACCAGTAAACGGAGAGCTTTGCCTTGCATTACAGTTCCCCCTTCACCATAATGGACCTGTACAGGGCTCGCAATACTGCAAATGCTGCACCAGTCTGTCTGTCAATCTCACGCTCCATTCTTCCCTCCCTTGTGAACAAAACCCCGAGATACTTGAACTCCTGCACTTGAGGCAGAACCTCACCCTCGACACGAGAAGATCAGTCCACCTTTTCTGACCGAGGACCATGGCCTCAGATTTGGAGGTACTGATTCTCATCCCAACTGCTTCACACTCGAACCGCTCCAGTGAGAGCTGAAGATCACGGCACGATGACGCCAACAGGACCACATCATCAGCAAAGAGCAGAGATGGAATCCTGAGGCCACCGAAGCGGAATCCCTCCACACCCTGGCTGCACCGGGAAATTGTGTCCATAAAAGTTATGAACAGAATCGGTGAAAAGAGGCGGTCTTGGCGGAGTCCAACTCCCACCCTGAACGGGTCCGGCTTACTGCTGGCAGTACGAACAAAACTCTTGCACTGTTTGTATAGGGACTGTATAGCAAAGGACCCCCAATCCCGTTCTCATGGACCACCCCTTACAGTGTACCTCGAGGAGCATGGTCAAATGCCTTCTCCAAGTCAACAAAACACATGAAAACTGACTTAGTAACCCACGTCCAGGAAAAGAACATTGAGCTTTTTGCTTTGTCCATACGACTGTTTTGAATTGATCTTTGTCTGGCCTGTCACTTACGACCAGTCTGCCTTGGGAGACTCTACCAGGGACAACTGCCCCCGACAGCATCGTTTCTAGGCTCATTCAGGCCCACAAACTTCTCCACCACAATAATGTCAGAGTTTTAAAGTAAGATCATCTTCTGATGAGAAGAAACAAAATTGTAGTTGTTTAAGCCAACCTGGTAAATTATTATTTTTTCATTCAGTCAACCTTTTATTTCTACAGGTTAATCCCATTGAGCCTCGAGGACTCATTTACAAGAGAGACCTGATTTTAACAGAGTGATGACAACAGTGGACAATCATAAAAGAAAGCTTAAATTATGTTATGCATGATCTCATGTGATATGGTGAGATCTGTTAGCACTTGAAATATGCGATGAGGACAACTCTCAACTACTAATCAAACCATTGTTGGATAATGTTGGACTGTCTTTTATTGTCTTTTCCTTATGGTGGCAGGCAATAAATGGGTAATGTATCAGATATTTCAAAAGTTAATGATGAATTCATACAAGAAACTTGTTTTTAAAGGCACAAATCTCTTATTTCATATTTTATATTTGCAGTATCAAATGACTGATGGGACTTTTTCAGAAAACTAACCTCGAGTGACAGATAGATTTTACTCCATGTGTGAAATTGTTCTTGGAAAGAGGTTGAAAACATGCAGGCCGACTTAAAATGAGATTAGATGAACCATCTGTCTTAATATCAGTGAAGCCAGTTGGTGCATTCATATACCACTGTAGTATTCAAAAACTAAATGAGTTCAGCCAGAAGTTTACTGAGCTTCTGTCCCACTGCATGCATTTTAGTATTTATTCTTAATAAAATATGGTTCCCACACTATACTTTTATTACAGCGCAATGCACAGTTTTCATTTTACTTGTGTGACTCTAGATTCCAGTTCAGTCTTGGGTTGTAGTCTTCATATTTCAGTATTTCTGTTAGAAATTTGTAACCGTCACGGAAGATAAATGAACTGCAAACCTGGCTGTCGGTTCAGGTCAGAGCTTGGGTTTCTTACCTGGCCCTGATCAGAGTCAGAGTTTCTTTATTGTCATTCGCACCACATGTGGTACATGTGGTGGATTGAAATTATGTACACAGGGTCCCAGTTGCATCCAACAAAAGTATAAAATATAAAAGAAAAACGGTAATAAGATCTAAGATATGAACTAAGAAAAACATTAACTAAAAATACGCTAAGCACTAGTAGTACAAAAACAATACACCGAACAGCAGCACGAACATGAGTCTGTGTGAGCAGATGAGTACAATGAACACAGCAGCATGAAACAGATCAGCAGCAACATGATGAAACAGATGAGCAGCAACA